CTCCCAAAAGTATCATAGACACTTCCCAAAAGTAGTATAGCACGAAGCTCTCACTTCTCAGCGGAGACCCACACTTTACCGTAAGAAAGGGCGAAGTGCAAACACCATCCTCCTTGCATCTACCTCGAATTTTTTCTCACGGCCAAAGCAGCTTTTCTGCTCACACACAGACGCCGATGACATGATTTTAGATGCGGAGCATCTTATACTCGCGCCTTGTAGTGCGCCGTCCGCGCCGTCCGCACCGCTTCTCGAACATTCGACAGCTGACGCGCGCGCATGCGCCGTCGCGCCGTCGCCCACTCTTCCACCATCTGTGCATCCCTTCCTCCTCTACACACCGCGCGCGCTTCACTCCTCCACCATCTGTGCACCCTTCCTCCTCTACACACCGCGTTCGACATCTACAATTCTCCTGATTCTCCAGTGGACGCGCATGTGGCGTCGCGCTTCGAGAACATTCAACAGCTGACAGTGCATGCGCCGTCGTGCTGTATATATACTCAAGGTCGGCGCTCGCTCGCTCAGTTGCCGCTCGTCGGTTGGTTTGTACGGCGCGTCGACGTCCAAGGTCGCGGTGAAATGAATTCCAACGAATCCACAAACACAATGATCGACGTCCCTTCGACCAGCGCCGCCCTTTCGCATACGTGTGTACGTGTTCACTCATCTAACACCCCCTCCTACAACCACGTTAACCAATTTAGCCATCGACCCAAGTAAGTCGCAATTTAACACCCCATTTCACAACCACGTTAACCAATTTAGCCATCGACCCAAGTAAGTCGCACTTTAACACCCCGTTAACCAATTATATGGTCCGCATCCTCCTCAGTGTTCCCCCGAGGGAAGCTCCGGGCAATTTTTTTGCTAAACAAGCTCTTTTCACGATGTCGCGCTTTAAAAGGACAAGATTCACCTATGCGAAAGAAAGTACTCTGGTGATGAGGTGACCGATCTCTGGCGTCCTGTGTTTCGCAGGCGACTGGTACCGCCCATCATTTTCACGTTCATAATCGCCTACATATGGCATTTGATTAGATGAGAAAGTCACATTTGCAACACTGCCATACCGTGGGAACTTGGAAATTCGAAGTGCCGTGCCCACAACGAAATTTCGCCGATCATCGTGCTGGTGAAAACGACTGTAGCATTACCAGCACTGCGGTTTAGTTTTCCAGCAATGTGATGCTGTGACGAAAGAGCTGGACTGCGTAACATAGCTATGTATAAAGGGTCGACAAGGACAAAATGCATTCCTTGCAGAACAAGGCCTCCTAAAGTGACACGCACCGATTCAGGTGGCAGTGGGAGAAACGATCGCCAAAACAAAGAATCAAAAGCACCACAGATCACGTAGTCAGTCAGCTTAATACATATGTCATGGAGGCAAAATTTGCGAACAAGCTGGGCCACACGCAGTCGCCTCACGCTGCTTGACTCTGTCTCGATCATAGCATGATACAGAGAACAACACTCACTGTGTGTCAAGCCCGATTAAGAATATATATTAGCGTTCCTTTATTCGAGTCACCCTGTAAACGACGTCCAACGGGAATTTCTCATAGTATATCTATGGCGCGGCGCCCTCGGCGTCGTCTGCAGGATGGATGGATGGATGAATGGATGGATATGGCTGTACCCTTTAGATCGGGCGGTGGCTAGTGCCACCAAGCCGTAATACCTAATGAGCCAAAAACGATTTATTTTTTTTTCTTTAAAAAGTGAGTTTGAAGATTCGTACTTTGCAGTGAAGAGTTTGATTTTTACTCGTGCCTTGACTTTAGCCACCAATCAGATAACCTCCTTCTAGCTAGGTCTACCCGCTTAAAGTCTATTTTGCCCTTCCGGTCCCTAAACCCCAGTGCTTTGAAAAACTGTGCGCCATCATCCTGAACTATAGGGTGAAGCCCTTTACAGAACATTATCAAGTGTTCGGCTGTTTATTCTTCCTCTCCACACGCACTGCATACTGTGTCTACCCCTTCGTATTTGGCCCGATATGTCTTGGTTCGCAGTATTCCCGTCCTGGCCTCAAACAATAGAGAACTACCCCGAGTATTATCATAGATCCTTTCCTTGGCAATTTCCTGCTTAAAAGTTCGATGGAACTCTAGTGCGGACTTCTTAATCATGCCCATTCTTCACACGCCAGTCTCCGTCTCGGATGGATGGATGGATGGATATGGCTGTACCCTTTAGATTGGGCGGTGGCTAGCGCCACCAAGCCAGAGTAGGAGAAGAGCGCCACGTCGTGGCGGGCGGCGGAACTTCTCCAATTGCATTTTTTCAATGGGGCGCGCCCGATCCAGGAGGCCGTGCCTCCTGCCGCCGGTCCCCTACGACGACGACAGCGGTGCTCTGGCCGACTGGATCAGCCCTACGTCATCTTTTGTCGCCGACAAGAGCTCTCGCAAGTGGTGCCCCGTCCTCGGACACCTGTGACCGTGTTTCATCTTTCCTATCTCTTCTGTCGTCGCTCGCTGCACTTGCGCATCTCTCTCTATATCTTTAATCCTATCCTTTTGATTCCTCCTTACCCCCCTCCCTTGCGAGCTACTGTTGAGGTGTCGCACGCTTATGCAGAAAGTTATGGAACTCACTTTGCTCTTCTTTTCCCTCTTATAACCCCATTTTTTTATGTTGAATTCATCAGCGTTAGTAAAAAAATACACTTCAACAACAACAACAACAACAACAACAACAACAACAACAAAAAGAAACATTACGCGGGGCTAGCTAAAAAAATAAATATGAACCATCTCACCAAAGGGAACCACGATGGGATGCGAAGCAGCAGCCGTGTGCACGCTGTTGGCCCGGCTAAAACGGTCGTCGACGCGGGTGCTGGAAGAACAGTTTGAAGCGAAACTCGGTCTAGCTTTTACTCGAGTAAACGTTTCTTTGAAACGCAAAGACACGGGAGGCAGGTTGCGTTTCGTGTGAGTTTCATCGCACATAAACAAGCCCAAAGAGTGTTTCCACTCGACATGCGGTCGAGCGTTGCCGGCGGTGGAGAGGGTAAATTAAGAGAGAAGTGAGTTGCGAGCGGGCGGAGGCGCAACACTACATAGGTGTGTGGGGAGGAGCCGCGACAGCTGCTGCTGGCGAGGATGAGTGACGTCAATGCGCAGCTGTGACTTGACCTACTTGGCATCGTTCCAACTACTTCCGCGGAGAAAACGCGGTGCGGCGCGGAGACACGGACGGACATCGTTACACAGGCTAGTCAGAGCTACTTCGGATCTTAAATTGAAGGACACTTTGAAAGTGCCAAAGTGTGTTCGACGAAAGCCTGTATCTGTTGGAACAGAGTTGGTGACAATGGAACGCGATGCGCGCGTCTCCCTTCTCGCATGAGTGGGCGTTCTATGGCCGGAATAAAGGGGAGACGGGCGTGTGAGAGCCATGCGACAAACTCGACTGCTGCAACGAGACGTCTGACGAAGGAGCGTGGGAGCGTTGCCGCGCGCGCCGCTGTGCCATCACGCGAGTGCTGAGAGAGCATAAGTGGGGAGGAGCCTCAACACCCTCACCGCTCAAGCATTTCGTACAAGTGAGTAACCAGCGAAGCTGAAACAGGCGGCCCTGGTGTTCACTACGGGCTGTGGTCTATCGAAGTGGTCTCCGTTGTAGCTTTAGATTCCTCAACCACTATCTTTAAGAAATGTGTGCTTCGTCTGGTGACGTTAACAAAGGATATTAAGATCACCAAAAGGCTTTTCAGTAGTGGCGCTTCACGCCACAAAACGTAAAGAGGAGCTAGTGTAATTTTGGAGACTGGGGCACGTATGGACACAGCCAGTTAGCGAGAGTATGCCACACAAAACGCTTTCGCCTTAACGAGGGAGCAGTAATGCCTGGAAGCTTCTGTACACACACAATTTTTCATCTTTGTTATTAGCTCATTCTTTTATCTTTGTCTTTGTTTATATGTGCTTTTACGTGATTAATCGTGCTACCCCCCTGCAATAATGCCCTCGTGGCGCTGCAGGTAATTCTATAAATAAAAAATAAATAAAAAAATCAGGTCTAGGTTCTTATTGCCAAAATCAGACAATCTAAAACACTAACTCTTGGTCGCAGGATTGAATCCCGGCTGCGGCGGCAGCATTTTCGATAGAGGCGAAAGTGCTGTAGGCCGGTGTGCTCAGATCTGGGCACACGCTAAAGAAGCCCAGGTGGTCGAAATTTCCGGAGCCTTCCACTTCGGCGTCTCTCATAATCATATGGTGGTTTTGGGACGTTAAACCCCACATACCAATCATATCAATCGAAAGACTCTTTTCCCATTTCTGAGAACTCCGCTGCACTATAATGGCTACAAATATAATATACTTCACAGGCTTAGAAATATGGAACCATCATCGTCATCTCTAATTAAAATGTTCTAAACGAGTTTGCAAGCTATCAAAACTTCCTTTTCTGCAACCAATCTAATGGATGAATGTAGTGTTACAAAAAAAAAAAAATGGACAGCAACAAGCTGTTAGTACAAGCTTTGTTCGAGAAATTTGATTGGCACGAACTGCATTAAAGAATATTAAAAAAAAATTTTCGTACTTTGCCACGATGCTATAACTTCTCGGTGCACATTTTCTGTAGTATTTTGACTCAGATTCAGAACAAACACTTCAGTTTGAAGTTGCCATGTGTTTCTTTCTACACCCTCCTCGTGGAAGATTTCATGTATAACCGCAATGCAGGAGGTCTTGTTCTTGGCCTAGTTCATGTTTGCTGAACATCACAGTGTAGCACGAGGACCCAAAGGGAGAAACAGAGACTGTGTTGCTTGTAATGCATGCGTTGTATGCCTCTGTGTATTCAGGCTACACTACTCAGCTCAGCTTCGTTTGTCACAATGCCTTCCATTGTCCTCGGCCACCACGCGAAGCAACAAACCTTTCTAATTTATGTAACTGTGAGGAATATAAGTAACATTTTAGGTTGTACGGTTTTCAAAACTTTATATAACACTGTGAACAATTAAATCGCATAGATGCCAAGGCCCATACTAAATGTGCCATGAAACATTGCTTTATTGTCAGTGAATATATGTACAGAGATGGTTTCATGCCTTATGAAAGGAAGAAATAAGTTACAATCTGTCTTGAGTAAATAAATGTTGCTCTTTTGGAGCTCTACAAGTGCACACTTCACAGGTTCAAAAGGTAACAAGGAATTCATTACATCAGCCCACCACATCTGTGCAAGTTCTATTTATGGCCTGATATCACCCAACCAATTTTAAATTACATACTTGCACATCACATAGCACCCCAAGCATTACAAACGCATCCCAAAAGGTTCTACTTGAACAGTACGTACATTGCCCGAACTCCGCTCAGCATCACCTGCGCCACACAATTTGTCCATTTTATTTTCTGCAGCATGGCTACCTTTCGGCTGTTCTACAACATTGGCGCGAGACACAAACTCCAAGAAACTGTCGTTACTGTCAAGATCTGAAGCTTCGTCACACTGTGTTTTTGATGCAGTCCGCTCGGGAACAACGCCACTCACCACATAGGTCCACGAATAGTCTGCCGTGGATGCGTCGCTGAACAACTCCTCCGACGCTTTGTCAAAAACTTCACTCATGTCACAAACAAAGTTTCCAGCATTCTCAGCTGGTGTGGATGCCGAATGACCATCCTCAAGATTGAGGTCAACCAAGAGGTTCTTAACCGTTCCGTTGAGCTCGGACGAGAAGCTGGGAGGAACACATTTATCTTTCAAACCGTCCATGTCACTGCAACACAAAATTACACTGGCATCTTTCTTCGCAACAGCCTGTGCCTCGAACTCGGAGAAAGTTGCCGCTCTTTTCCGTAGACGTGAGCCACCGGCCGTTAATGGGACACCTGTATTTTCCTTGTAGTCCACGACATTGCAACGTAAAAGAGAACGGCTGTCTTTCTTCACAACGGCTCGCGTCTCAATGTTGGAAGAAGTTGCGGTCCATTTCTGTGGGTGTGGGCTATTGGCCACATTTATGTTTTCCAAATTTTCAATGGTAGAGCTAGATTCCTTGCGCACAACTTTGAGATGCCTGAGAGCAGAGATTGTACCAGAAAATCCAGACTGCGTGACTACACTGTGATGGCCAGTCTTGATAGATAGCGTCTGAGGAGGAGATGCCCAGGGCTGATCTGTAGGGAGACCAAGTATGTTTTCTTCGTCATCCGAGATTGACGGGGCCTCTGTCAGCCAGTCCTGACCGTTTATCTCCGACAAAGGATGGGCCACCCGACTAGGCAAATTGCAGGGCAGCATAGAAATCATGTCACTGACGACACTGAAGTTGTTCGGATTCCTCATAAAGTTCTCGTGCTTCTCCGATTCCAAGTGCTGCAGCATCACAGAAAAAAAGAAAACAAAAAAATACATTCTCAAGGTGAACTCTCGAAAGTTATCTGAATTGCGTGAAGAATGCATTAACGAAGCTCACTTTCTCCAGGCAGATGAAAGAAATCCCACAGATTTCACAATTTAGCTTCTTCTGCTCAGTCACCTTGACATGGGATGTTTCTTTTGACGTGCCTGGCCTGATGGTTTCATTAAAAAAAAAGGACATAGCCAGACAGTTAAAATTTTTGGAAAAAAATAAACAGGAAAGCATACAGTCCATTCACTTGTAGTGACCACATACCCCCCAATGCAAGAAGGTCTAATACGAAACTGAATGCCTAGAACAATGTGCACAGGGATGGTCAAAAGTTCTCACGCTGCTGTGCCACGTAATTCTGCGGCAGTGCAATCTGAGAACTTCTACCCATCTTTGCGCCACAAAATGCTGCCATCAGATGTACAGCTGCACACACCTCCAGAATAACATTTCAAGTTAACCCTCCCATGAACAAGTGCAGTCAACCATGAGCAAATTAAAAAAAAATTGTGTGGTGCAAAGCTCATCATTCTGCACCCAACAACTTCCAGTGTCTGACTAAAATTTCTCATGTGATCTGGTGAAGTGCCCTTTATGAAATAAATTACAAACAAAACATAACTCACGTGGACCCCCTTTTTTTTACCTGTGCTGCACTCTCCCCTGACGGCACTCTATACAGTTTCGCGTTCACTATCCATCTCCTCGCAGCTGCACAGAGGCACCTCCTGTTCCCTGCCCCCCACCACATACACGTATTCAGGGTCTGGGAACACTGGACTGGAGAACTGGCTGTAAAAGCCGCCCACCACGTCCTCGGCCACGGATGCCACTCTACACTTGTTCCCCTCTCCTATTTCCACCATCATTTCCCTCTCCCCATTCTTTTGTATGCACTGGGATGTGCTCCCATATAGGGTGTAAAAATAGCGTCATTTCCTCTCATCCGCCTCTCCCTCCTTCCACCACTTGTGTCAGTGCACTGCTGTAAGGTGGTCGGCACGTCCCATTTCACTACTGCTAGCAGTTACTTTTCTGAAGGTTTGCTTAACAAGAGAACTTGGTGGAACTGCATGGAGTTCCGCAAGAACACTTTTACCTTTCCCGAAAGGTTGCTTTTATTTTTGAATAATGGTCTTAAACTGTACTCAAAAGCAAAATTTGGTGTTAAATAGGACTCATTTAGGCACAAACTTTGAAAATAGGCATTCATAGGCTCAAACAGTAAAAATAGCCATTTATAGGCACTATAAAACACTATAACATCCCTCTTTAACGTCTAATTCGTGCTCATATATCAGAGCGAAACGATAGGAATGCATGGAACAAAATAATCATTTGCCTAAAATCCGGTCTCTAGTTATGACAACAAGAAAAGATGTCCTTCAAATGTTCTTGCAATTAGTCAACTCGGAATGCAACTCATTGACATACAGCCATAAAAGTACTAAGGAATCATGCACATATCAACAAACTCCAAGACCTTGAGTTTTTAGCAGGCTTGTGTGAATATTTTCAACAAATATTACAGTATTTGAAATGAACGATTAAATGTACATCAGACTGTATGTAACCTTTTGTAAAGGTTCTTTCACTGCAGTGGAGGGGTGCTAAGGTGATCCACGAGAAATTAGTACAACTGAGAAGCCCCACTTTGAGGCCAAGTGAACACATTAACCTTGTCTAAATTCACCATTTTTAAAGTTTCAAAGCATGTTGTACAGGCTTATATGCTCTATGTATAGTTAACTTTAAAACTTAACATATTTTACAGGTTGTCATTTGCATTCTACCAAAAGTCGAATCCTGCTACTAATAAAGTTGATTCAACTTCTACTGAACAAAACAAAATTTCGTTTGCACAAGCCTAGTTTCAATTAAAAAGAAAGTTTGTGCAGATTAGTTGGGTCATAAAAAATATACCCATTTTTCTTTACAATATGTAATACATATTAATGCGACAGCGTTAAAGAACTCGTTTTGCAGAAATTCCAGTGTCGGCATCCTTGGTTGTGAGTGAAAAACCATCATCTTGTGCGTGACTGAAAAATTGAGAAAAAGGCAGATAAAATGAATAATAAAAAAAAATCTGGGTCGGAGTGTGGATCGAACCCGGGTCGTTTGTGTGGCAAGCGGGTGCTCTACCACACAGCCACGCCTCTGCTTGTGAATACGGTGAAAATAACCTTTCTCTGCTTGGAAACGCAGTGAAAGTGACTGTCATGCTTTACAAACACATGTATCCTGTACACATGCTTCACAGTACAACATAAAATATTGCAGTAATAGTGCGTGCTACGAGCATACATTGCAATCGGGCGACAAAACATGCGATTATCATGACGACTTCATGGTTTAAAGCTGGTCACCCACTACACAAGGCACTGCGCCCTATTCTTGTAACTCTACGTGACAGGTGCATAGCAAGTGTGAAAAAGATTTCACTGCACTAAGTGCTTGAAGTATGCAGTAGGAACAGGATATCGCTATTGAGTTCAACTCTTGAAGGCTACGCTTAAGCCCCCTTCAAATATTTCTATTTGAATACGATTCAAAATTATTCAAACCAGATGACTATTTGCTTCAAACCTGGAATCCACTATACACACAAGCAGTTTTTAGGAATAGCTACTACATGATTCTCCTTGTGGAGAAGAGGTGGAAAAAAAATGAAAGGAGGGGAGGAGATGAAAGTCACTTGGCTCAATAGTACATGTTTCAAGTCTCCCAAAAAAAGGAGAAAGGAAGCTTACATGGAATTTTACAGTACACTCAAGCGTTGACAAGGTGAACCAGGACTCTTATTAATTCAAACTCGAAGGGACCTCTTATTTTGTTTGAATTATCAAGAAGCTTGATCAGAAGTTCTTAGTTATATGAATCTGGGCTATATATATATATATATATATATATACATACAGAGAGAGAGATGGTATGAAGAAAGGCAGGGAGGTTAACCCGAAAGCAAGTATCTGGTTTGCTACGATGTACCGGGGAGAGGGGGAATAGGAAACAGAAAAGTAAGAAAAAAGAAATGAGAGAAACAGAGCGGTGACACCACACATTATGATTAGGCATTGATTTTGTCACATTTAAAAAAAATTTTCAGCTTACTGCACCCAATAAACAAAAAGCACAGGTGTAAGGTTCACAAGTTTATTGGCCATTTACTGCTGATCACACCATTTGAAGAAATCGTGAATCGCCGACTGCTTCTTTGCTATATGTGCCTTCAGCACAAACCTCTATACCAGTTGAGAAGCATCACAGTTTACCGTGCATGTGCTCCGTTTAAAACATTTGTTTACTAGTAAAGCCATTTTCCTTGAAGACCTAAGATGCTTATTTGTCATTTTTAGACTGTTAGGATTATATAAGCACGAATTTTTAAATAGTGGTGGGAAAGCAGCAAATATTTTTCGGTATGGAACTGCAAAAATTATGAACTAACCAAATGATGACATTGTATTGAGAGGCTTTTAAATACATCTAAAGTATAGAGGGCCAACCGAAAAATTAAATTTTGTTTGAATTAACCAAAAGTATGAATTATCAGAGTTTGAAATAACGAGAGTCAACTGAATAATTAATTATCGGATGTAACGAAGTAAATAAAAGATGGCTCTGTCGGACAGCCTCGCCTTCGTAGCCTTCGCTCCAATGTCAAGGTAACTTGCCGCCGACTGTAGGATAGTTAACAATGGGCTCAAAAGCTGCTCCTCCAACTTACAGTGCAACTATGAAGCATGTTTTCTACAGGTTCAGTGTTCCTTTTTTACCTGTCTGGTGTCATGTAGTATGCGATCTTATAGTAAGGCAGCAGCTGACCTTTAATTTCTTGCATAATGCCCCAAGGCATCCAGCCTGCCAAAACGAGACCCTTGCTATGAATGAAGGAAAGTGTAAACTTAAGAGCTCTGCTATTAAGCTATGGTCGAGGGACAATTGCCACCACAGCTCAATGGTAGAGTATCAGACCTGTTATCCGAAAGTCGCAGGTTTCGTCTCTGCCGGTGGCAAGTTACCTTTTTGTCCACTTTATTTTTCTTCGCATTTACATCCCATATGGTAATATTTTCGGTTTGTTCTCATTAATATTATGTCTAACCAAGAAAACGAGCCCTCAAATTTACATTTTTCTACATTCATAGCGAGGGTCACGTTCTGGCGGACTTGATACCTTGCGGCAGTATGCGAGGAATCACTGGTCATGCACTACGATCATAAGATCATGTACTTCGTAACACCCAAAAAGCAAACAGCCAAAAAAACAGTGCTTCACACTCGCCGCAATGAAAACACGTGGCGCTGACGCTTTCATGCTTAAATGCACACATATATACCCTATAATGTGGATGGGGGATGATCGCCACCGTAGTTCAGAGATAGAGCACCATGCATGTTATCTGAAGGTCGCAGGTACAGTCCCTGCAGGAGGCAAATTAAAATTTTCTTTCTCCAAATTTACATTACAGTTCTTCCTAATACCATCCCCTATATTTTTATTGGCTTCATTGTCTGTTAGCTCTTATTAATACTGCTGTCACAGTAGGCAGAGTTGTTCACAGAACTTGAAACCGCCAAGGCCTGTAAATATTTTAATTTATATCAAAAAGAGCGAAAAAGCTGCATAAAGGTTTAACTAATTGCTTATTAGCTATATGATGCATTCCATCATTTGGAAATGGTTTCTGCTTGGCTGTATCAGAAATGTTAGCATAAAAACCACTTGAATTACCAAACAGATTCATCGCTTCCACAGCTTAAATTACCACCGAAAGTACTGCCAACTCCTGGAAATCTGAGTGATTTATTTCTCCTGTGTACCTGAGTGGAACACCTTTCAGATGACTGTCGTTAATGGCTTCAACGGGTTCCTTGGCCGAAGCGGCAGATTCTTTCGGCAAGGGAGCACGTTTTTTGGGAACAGGCTCCTTTGGCTCGGTCGCAATTTCCTGGCAACGCTCTGCTGCGACATCTGGCCACTCTTTAAGGCTCACATGCATTGGCCTGAACACTCTGAAAGGAGAACAAAATAGACAGCATGATTCGAGGTCAAGATACTAGTTGTTGAGCAGTGCCTTTCATGAGAATGGTAAGAAATTACCGGGCCAAGACTGAACCCCCTTGTAAGAGGGCCAAACTTGTTCATATTTGTAAGGAAAAATGGTTGCGTGCAAGCTAGACAAAGACGTGTTTTCTGCGTCCTTGTCTAATTTTCACACAATTATTCTTTCCTTGCAAGAGGGCAGGAAACTGCTAAAAACATCCGGATAGTTGCCAGAAGCGGACTACTGTCAGTTCCGCATGTTAAACATGTAACAAAAGGTTATCAATATTATTACTGAAACTTGATTGAAATATAACTATTGGGGTTTAATATCATATAACCACAATGTAGTTATGAGAGACACCCTAGCAGAGGGCACCGGAAAGTTTGACGAACCGGGGTTCTTGTTCTTAAATGTGCATATAAATTTGGGTACACAGGCTTCCTAAGTTGATTCAATATTTGAAATGAAAGCTGCATCCAACTATGGGCACTCTGCCTTGTACATAAGTGTAGAGCTCGATTTTACTTGGAACATTTTTTTCAGAACTATTCCTTATCAATTTAGAATATTCCTTCTCTTTAGCTAGGATAGCCATTTTTTTCCGAAGCCCAAGAATGAAGGGAGGATGCATAAACATTTAAGGTTTTTCACGAAAACATTCACTACCACATGAAAGAAAGATGAAAACTGCAGCATATTCAAAGGATATGTTGGAATTTGACTCAGAATGCAAGCTATGCCCAATTTTCATACCTAGAGACAAAACATTTCCCCATTCCAGTCATGAGTGGGCAGTGGAACGGAGCGGCCACCACCATGGTCTCATCCAACCACTTTTTGCTTTTCGTACAGTTGTTCGCAGTCATCAGCACGAGCTCGCCGGACTGCGTGGAACCACATGCGCCTGGCACGCCATACGGCACGTGCCCTCCCCAGCCCTAACCGAGCCGTTGTTGCCCGGTGCCACTTCAACCTACCGTTCCGGTAACCCCTTACGCTGCCACCAAGCCAACCGCATCGACATCGTCAAGCCACCCAGAAAACTACAAATACAGCCAGCCTTGCACCGCGTGCCTCAGTGGGCAGTGGAACGGAGCGGCCGCCACCATGGTCTCATCCTACCACGTTTTGCTTTTCGTACAGGTTGGTCCCTCCCAAGATTAGAACACTAAGCGATCTAGCAACTATTGTCTGCTGCTCCTTCCATGCCCACATGTGTTGCTTGATATAGTCGCAGAGTGTTTTGTCGTTATAAAGGAACCTCTTCTTTGCGGGGATATTGAACAGAATCCTGGTCTGAATAGCGAAGTATTAGCCGCCATCAGCAAACTGACCGCACACTTGGATGAGCGTCATGACAACTTGCAGAAGACTATTAACGAAGTTAAAGAAAACCAGTTGCTACTTGATTCCAAAGTAGCAGATTTAACCACCCGACTAACTGTACTTGAACAGAAGGTTATTTCTCTCGAGAGCGTTCCAGACAATGCACAGATGCAAGGTCTTGTAACGGCTGCCGTGCGACACGAAAGTGTCGCTCTCAGTTCACGGCTTGATGACTTTGAGGATCACTCTCGTAGGGAGAATCTAATTTTTTATGGGATATTGGATTCTGCTTCAGAAACCTGGGCTGAGTCGGAGCTAAAAATTCGTGAAATCCTGTCTGCGTCCCTTAAACTGGAACTTCCTAATGAAGCCATCTCCCGTGCACACAGGCTTGGAACATATGTACAGAACAAATGTCGACCTGCTATTGTTCGCTTCAGTTCGTTCAAAACAAGAGAAAGTGTCTTTACTAAGAAATCGATGCTTCGCAGCACCCCCATGTCAGTTAGCGAAGATTTCTGCAAGGCCACGCACCACATCCAGAAAAAGCTTTTAAATTTCGCGAAAAGCACTGGGCAGCCATATTACTTGAAATATAACAAGATACTAATCAACAAGAAAGCCTACGTTTATTGTCCGGTCACCGATCGTGTAACTGAGGCAGGACCTATTTATGATAACCCCGTCCACGTTGCTCCCAAAGTAAGCAATGCAGAATGTGCAGGGGCTAGCGCTCCTCCTTCACATCGATAGCTAGATAAGCATTTTCGAGCCCACGAATTTTCTTTTTTGCTATGTAATTCTCGAAGTGTTACTAACAAGCGTGATGCCCTATCTGCGCTAATAGATACATGTCTAGCTGATGTCGTCGTAGTAACTGAAACTTGGCTGTCCGCGGAAATTGAAAATAACGAAATATTTAACTGTTCAAAAAAGTTTAAATTCTACCACTGTGACCGGGGTACGAGGTGCGGGGGCGGCGTATTGATTGCCATTAGCGACCAGAGTAGCTCGTTCAGCGTGCCTGTTGTTTCACCGCTTGAAATTGTTGTCGCGTGTGTTCGCATCAACCACAAAGATATCGTTGTTTGTGGCTGCTACCGGCCTCCTAACCTTACTACCGGTTTCGCAAATGAATTACACAATGTACTAAATAAGTTGCGAGTAAGGTTTCCGGCTGCGCCTATGTTTCTCCTAGGCGACTTTAACTTCCCTAATGTTTCGTGGTCTCCCCCTTTCCCAATAATTTCATCATCTTCTGCTGACAGTGCTGCCTTTCTTGATGTGTGTTCAGACTTTAACCTTACCCAGCTGGTTAACGCTCCAACCCGCATTACCTTGTCCACCTCCTCAGTTCTAGACTTGGTGCTGACCACGCAGCCCGACCTAATTAAATCCCTATCAGTTATTCCGGGTGTAAGCGACCATCTAGCTATTCATTTTAACATGACTAAAACAACTAAAAGAAATGATAGCTCAAAGGGACTACAAAAGAGCCGACTATGTTTCAATTAATAATGAGCTTCAGCTTTTCCTAAACGATTACCTTTCGTAATTTCTGGAAAGGTCCGAGCAACAAAACTGGAATTTGTTTAAGCAGAAGGTAGCAGAACTTACCAACCGTTTTATTCCACTCCTCAGAATTAGGCAAAACGCAAAGTCCTCTTGGTTCACGCTTACACTAAAACGACTACTGAATGAAAAGAAACTAATTTTTCGAAGGGCAAAGCTAACTAACAAAGCGGAAAGGTAGTTCGCTTATCATCACGCAGCTGACGAGTACACTCGCGCATTATCCGTTGCAAAAGAAAATTATTATAAACAAACGCTTCCCTCCCTGCTTGCAACTAACCTACAGAAATTTTGGCAGATGATTAGAGGAAATGAAAAAAAGGCGATAGAATTAATCCATGATGATAACAGCCGTGTACCAAAAGAAGAGTGTTGCGTCATTTTAAGCTCTGTGTTTTCATCGTGCTTTGTTAAACTTACAGCACTTTCCTTTCCCGATACCCCCACCCACAACTTTGTTCCCATGGAACCCCTTTTATTTGACTGTGTCGGCATACAAAAATTGATAGAAAACATGAAATTAGCCAGTACTCCAGGTGAAGATGGTATCTGTGCAAAGTTTTTGCATAATACCTCTGTTTACTCATCTGTCATTTTATGTAAGCTTTTCACACAGTCTTTGGAATGTCATTGCCTCCCGGGCGACTGGAAAGCGGGAAAGGTGGTTCCTCTTCACAAATCAGGTGACGTGCATAACCCCCGCAATTACAGGCCCATATCGTTAACAAGTATACCGTGTAAGCTCATGGAACACGTCATCTACTCCCACATAATCACTTTTTTAGAAAACAACTCATTCCTTAATGATCACCAGCATGGATTCCGGAAACAGTACTCGTGTGAGACCCAACTTCTCTGCTTTACTAATGACCTTTTTCTTGCCATTGACGCTTCTTCCCTTGTTGACTGTATTTTTCTCGACTTTGCTAAAGCTTTTGACACTGTATGCCATAAACTGCTACTGCTAAAACTAAGCAAACTTAATCTTGATGCTAACATATTAAAATGGATTGAATGCTTTCTAATAGACCACTCCCAATTTGTAACTGCGAATGAATCCAACTCTCCCTTCTCACCCATAACCTCTGGCGTCCCCCAAGGATCCGTTCTTGGCCCACTACTCTTTCTGATTTACATTAACGATTTGCCACATAACATCTCCTTCTATTAAACTTTTCGCCGATGATTGTGTTATTTACCGCAAAATTAAAAACCCTTCTGACCACCTTGCCCTTCAGTGTGACTTGGACAATGTTTCATCTTGGTGCGATACTTGGCTAATGAACCTTAATGTTACTAAATGCAAGGTAATGAGAGTTTCACGTCGAAAATGTAATATTTCTACTAACTACGTACTTAATAATTCTCCCCTTACTAAAGTTAGCTCTTACAAGTACCTTGGCGTTACAATTTCTGACAACCTTTCCTGGCAGTCTCACATTGACCTTATTAAAAACAATGCTAACCGCACACTTGGTTATTTATGCCGTAACTTCTCCCTTGCCCCTATGCAACTGAAACTTCTGCTCTATAAGCATTAGTCCGACCAAAGCTAGAATATTCATCATATGTATGGGATCCTCGCGTAAACATCCATATCAGTAGCATCGAAGCAATTCAAAATCGCGCCGCTCGTTTCATTTTGTCGAACTATTCCCGTACAGCAAGCGTAACCCATATGAAGTCAACCTTAAATCTACCTAGCCTATCATTTCGCTGCAAAATCTCGCGCTTGTGCCTCTTCCACAAGTTGTACCATACCATGCACTCACTGAGTAACTCGCTTTTTTTGCCGCCATCCTACATTTCATCCCGCAGCTATCACCACTTCAAAGTTGGAATTACAAGCAGCCGTACAAACCTCCTTTTTAATTCATTTGTGCCCAAAACAAGCACGGACTGGAATCACCTTCACGCTTCCATCGCATCTATCACTGACCCGGCCAACTTCAAGAGTACCATAAACGCATACCCTTTTAAAACATGCTCCATTTGTTTGTGCAGATTGTTACTTGTTTTTTCTACCACTCCTCTCTGTAACGCCTTGTGCATTGAGAGAAAATAAATGAAATGATATCATTTGTACCACGTGTCCAGGCCACAGATCTTTCTTAGAGACATAGCAGACATTTCCAGAGACTCGAAATTTCAAACAACCGAGAAAATTGTATTAATATCACATTCGACAATACAGCCATTTTTAATTCTAAACATCATTGAACATCAGACTTAGGATATATTATATATGGCGACTATCTCGCGAGTGTTTCTTCGCTGTATAATTTTCAAAAATGTTTTCTATGAATTATAACCATAGACTACATATCCGGCGTAACTCTTTTATGCTCTTGCTACCTGATCCCCATTTTATAGGTCTATAAAAATAAACACAATGCGCTTTGGAGCCTAGCCAGGACTACAAGCAGTGACTGCTCGGCATGGCTGTGTAGCATTGCAAAACTTGAACAGGATTTTAATCAAAACATTTTTAAACACTGTTTCGCCAACAGCTGGAAGATACTAAACATAGCAGTACCCTGACTGAGTAATCATAATGACCGTAAACCAACACCGCAAGGCACAGTAGCACATGGCTCCACATTACTTGTGAGATCGTGGAGATGTGCAGCCAAATTTAGGTACACATTACTTTGGCATTTCCCACCCAACAAAATTATGTTGACGTGGCCAGGAATCTAACCTACTTCATTCTGCACAGCAAGATGCTACAGAAAGTGTGATGAACATTTAGTAGAGAATTATATCTTAAGTAACAGACGGCGAAACAAGAATGAACACAGGTTTACTGAGTTAGTCATTTAGATAGGCAACTCCAGTGTGACGTCATGTCACTGACATTCATGCATGCCCTCTTGATGTCCCCCCCCCCCCCCAGCTGACATCACAGCAATATCAAGGAATAAAGGGTGGCATAATGCCTGAATTCATGATGTAAAAATAATACTAATAATAATAATAATAATAACGACAATAACAACAGTTGTATTTTAACGTGACAAAACTACAATAAGAGTATAAGAGACATTATAGTGAAGGACTTGGGAAATTTTAGCCACCTAGTGTTCTTTTAATGTGCAACTAAACCTAATTACACGGACATGAATCATTCTTGCGTCCACCATGTGAGCATGACATAAAGTAACCATAGTACACAGCTTTCTACTTTTAGCCTGAAATTACTGCACCAGCACATTCAAGTGCCAGCTTTTTAGGGGCTAAGCTTGTCATCTATCTATTTTATGCAGTGTGATCACGCTCACAGTAAAGCGCTCAATACAGGCCATGACAGGACTACTCAAACCTGGTTTGAACAAGGTATAAATTAACATAGTTAATAGAAATAGCCAAGAAGTAATAGCATTAATTTAAAATCACTAAAGGTTTAGAAGACATGGAGCTGACTTCAGCGGGGCACAAAAGAGGGCAACTGCCCCTCCCCCTGCACCGCCTCTACTGATCCCAGGAAACCCTATATGCTTACCTCAAACATTGGCGCCATTGACACTTTAGTGAATACAGCAGCAGAAAGTCTACAATTGGAAATTGCTGGGAGCCCGTCCGAGGCATTTACTTAGTGCTTCACAGTAGTGGAGCTGTGATGTGGTTTTCTTTTTAGCATGCAAATTCACGGTGCATGCAGAAATTGTGTTCGCATCCCTCAGAAAATGTGATCACATAAGCTCCGATGGCTTTCATAATTTTTGCTAATGGTGCACTGTTGTATAAAACAGGAAAGGCCTCACATAACGACGTGATCAATATTCCATTGTTTCCACCCACTTACCAGAGTGAAAGAAAAACTCAAGAGAAAGGCTACATGCACTGGTTGTACTTTTACATAAGATAGAGAACTGAAGCAATAGCAGTAAACCGAAACTGTTTGTGATCAGCTGCACAGCACTTATGTAATGAAATAAGCTCATGTGTTGCATTGAAGTGTGGGGAAATACGTTCACAGTTGAACGTACTGTATGTGTAATTACCCTAAGATGGCACAACAGATCTAGTCACCAAAGGTGATAAGGGTTAATCCAAGTACCCCAGCCAGAATTCCATTGACGTCACCTACAGATCACAGAAACGTAAGTATGGATGCTGCTAGCCCCAAGCTAGAGTGTTCAATTAATTATCGTCACCTCTAGTATGCATGGAGACACCTTGCTGGAGTATTACACTTTGGTGGAAAGGTAAGAAAAATACATTTTTCACTTATACCTTCAATAACACAAACTAGTAAAGCTCAATGAGAAAATACTTGTGTTAAAGCATACAAAAGGTTTGAACAATCATCTCCACTGATGTAGTAATGTTCCACAAAATATGTGCGACAGGGAGAAGGGCACAACTATTAAACATTTGATCCTGAAAACTGAAGTAAATTATAACCATTACTAATATGGTAACCCATGGTTGCTACAGAAATTGTCAACTAGCCTCGAAATTTTCATAGATCGTGCTCAACAGCAATCAAATAGAACAGTGCATTACATTCTGATCAGCTGTAGACAAACAGTATTGTGATGATACTGAACTCTTATTGAATTAATACAAATCAAGAGAAGGAATGGTAAGTAGTAAAAGCAGTGCTCCATTTAAATGATATTCTCTGAAACATGTGCAGTAGTGTTAGAATGTGGGCTTGTTAATATGGCATCTTCAAATAATATTCTAGAATAAAAGGGGCACTGTTGGTCCTCATGTGCATTGCTTGTGTCCCTGTTTATTTGCACTGCAATATTATTCAGAGGCAAAGCAGGACGCTTCAGGAAAGCAAGATCTATGAGTATAGGTGAACTTGCTGTGTCATCCTCATGACAGAATCATTCTAATGTGACCTGCAAGGCACCCACCAATATTACACATCTCCAAGACTCCAATGCCCAAAACAATGCAAAGAAAAGAGAGTACTAACCTTCGCATGTCTTCTACTTTGATAAATGGAGGCACAAGCTTTTCGGGAGGTTCGTATACTTGCTTTGCTATTGCATTCTCTTTCCAGTGTTTTGCATTTTCCAGCAGAGCTTTGTCCTTGAGCTTCTGCACCCACGGGAGGAAACTCTTAATGTAACAGACCTGTATCTGCCACTGTCGACACAACTCCAGAACATCTGTAGAGCCAGACTGCAGCATCAACAAAAACACAACAATGCAATCACCACATCTCGAAACAACTGGGGCAACAAATCCAACGAAGTAATGCTTACCACATTTTGTATCGCCTTTCGGACGAGAACTTGTCCTCGCCCCTAAAGAAAAGAAAGTGAACGTGAGCTTCTTGCGAAGCTGCAGATAACTGAATGCAATTGTTCTCCATTGGCTTATGTAACACCTCAACTATGGCACTTCATTTTTATGCTTACAGTGCGAAGACTGCTCTTTCGATTGCCTGATCCCTCTGTTGATGCTGAGGGTCTGAAAAAAAAAAAGTGGCAGTTGTAACGTGAGAAAACTTAAGAATGAGAACCTCGAGGCAAGGCTCTCACTGGTGTGGACACAAAGTCTAAGGCAACCAGCTGGGAATATAATAAAGGCAAGCAGTACCTCCAGGGCACATAAATGGCAGCCAAGAGGACTTAGTGATCAAAGTTGGAACAAAAGGATCAGCGTGCTGGAGCCACTGAAGCGGAAGTTAACACCCAAGATCACTTGTGCACACACTACGGATCATGATTAAGCCTGATTGGTATCAAATTTTGCAACAGTGTGTGTAATAGAGCCAATCGCGAAATAAGAAATTAAGTCTAGATTAGGCCCGACTGCAATCATAAGTGAAAGTGTAACACCGGTATTAAATGTGCACAGCAACCAGAGAGCTTGTCTATACCTTATGCAAAAATAGCGCGTTGTACACCTTTTTGCGTTTCAGCTGTAAAAAACATGGAATACCAACTATTCCGCTCAGACACCTTGCAAGAATAGCGCCTCTTTCAGACTTTGATGTACCTACTGCCTCTTAACAGCTCCTTGGTACGCTGAATTGTGGCACGTCTGATTACACTTAGTAGTAACACAAGTTCTTTTCTCAGAAAAGGAAAAGATAAACCACACCAGTCTGACCTTGCCAGACACGGACAGTCCACATATTCTGAAATAAAGGCAATATGTGGGTCTCGCCGTGTTGTGTTTCGCGTCCAGTCTCTCATCGCGCTTAAGAAGTTCTGAAGGCGATAGTAAAGATGATACGTACCCGGTCGAGACAGAGGGGCTCGTGAATGGGCCACTGGAATCCACCGAATTCGGTTTCGGTGGTGTTGACGCAGACCCGAGATCTTGTTGATCAGTAATAACGCACGAAACGTCTTTCCCAAAGAATGGCTCCACCCTCTGAAACAGACGACGTACGAAAAGAAGGGTCACGCATAAGACCAATAATGAATGTAAATGGCCGCGTTTAGATGGCTTATTTTTGCTGAAACAACGACCTACAGCGCCCAAGCTCGTAAGGTCTTGTGTGAGCTGCGAATGTGGTCGGCGGTTCTTGAAATGGAAATAGAACTTTTGGTTCTCGAGTGGTCTGCTGAACAGACGCTGGCCATCCGTCTTCTTTTTACTTGCAGCACTGCGGAACCAAGCAGGAATTTTCGTGAGTTAGGGAGCAGAGCTTTGCACAACTTTCTCGGCACGATCAAAATGAACCGCATAAATAAATAAATATAATGCGTAAGATGTAAGAGGTGCACACTCACAGGAGCTTCCGGCGAGCATCATTACGAGAAGACATGACGAACTTCGTGCTGGCTGAAGCTTGCAGAGGTCTCACATTGCGATTCCTGTTTACGAGCTGCTATCACGCAAGGTCAAATAGCACCTAATTTGTAGCGTACGCACGAGGAATGTTACGAGCGTTCCGAGATACGAGTTTCGCGCCAACGGCTTCCGAATGTTCGAATCTTCTGCAACGTTACGCGTCTGCAAATGCGCGATGCAAGCTTCAGTTGTCACCGGAAATGTTCCTTTTTAATGTGAGAGCAAATAACAATCAGAAGAAGTGGTAGTAGAACACACGCGTCATACTGCATACGTTGGCTTCCACCGCCCTCGTAATCACCGCCTGACCGGCGCCCGCGCTAGCTCTTCGCTAGATGACGCTAAGAGTGATGTGACTTGGATTGATGTTTGGCTAGGCCGCGGAACATAGTTTCACTTGGACGACCATGACGTGGCTTTGGCATCACACAAAAGCATAGCCTCTGAGATAACGTTTAAACCCAGAGATTGCCTACAAAACAACAATTCAAACACCACTCATTGCTTTCAAACGTAAACACTACTAACTCATTCTAATAACAATAAAGATTAAATTATGTTTCTTGTTTTGTGAATGGCAAGAGCGTTAGATTACTTTTGTTTGTCTGAGCGGCAATTGTGGGAATAACGCCGCCGAAGACAACACTGCGCAACGCACGCTTGTCGAATTTGAGGCGAGTGTTTGGTAGTTCGCCGGCATTTGCTGAACGCGCATGTTGGAATTTACCCCTGAAAGTCCTGTGTGTACATAACTGGATTTACTCATTGTAAGTGCAGCTTTATCCTGTTTATTGTAACGATCTCGGCACAGTATCCGAGCCAGCCGTGTTGTCTCGGCTGGGCCGCCTAACTTTCGGCGATCTGATCTTGTGGAACTTGTCAATACGCCGATTTATTGCTAACAGAGGAGGTATTGAACAGTTAAAGAACGCAGAAAGTGCTCAATGCATCAGATCGCAATCTGAAACCTTGCGTGACTTGTGCTAGGAACTGCGATGTTTTGTTTTTGATGTGATCATCATTGGCCCACACTATCTGTACACGTTTGCCAAACCTTGGCTCAGAATATTAATTATTGGTTGGCGTTTTGTTCCTAGACACCATGGATGCCGACTTGTATGACGAGTTCGGCAATTACATAGGACCTGAACTTGAGAGCGATTCGGATGACGATGAGGCAGACCGGTATGATCGCCAGGATGCCGATGCTCAAGAGATGCAAGAGGTAACGGGCTTCACCTATCCTCGAAGGCTGTGTGCGTGAAATCGGGGCTTCGTTGAGGTGAAATTGTCGTGTTCGCAGGACGATGACATGGACGGCGGCAGAGATGACGACGACATGGGAGACATGCAAGTGGTGTTGCACGAAGACAAAAAATACTACCCTTCTGCAGTGGAAGTGTACGGGCCTGATGTTGAAACGATCGTGCAAGAAGAGGACGCCCAACCATTGACAGGTGACCTCTTGTTTACTTGCACCATTTGGTAATTTGGTTATTTCTAATACGGTCTCGGTGCAGCATGCTTCGATTTCAGTCAACCGCCGTCGAACCCTAACTACTATTGTAATTTTCCATTTGTGTTTAGGTCAACTTGCATGAAATTGTTCATGAAATTCCTTCACACTAGTAATGTTGCAGTATATTACTGTGAGAGCTGGGCAGCATGATACGTGCACACGAAAATATTTCATTTTGCTTGTGGATTCTTCATGTCTCGCATTATTTCTTAAAGCAGTTAAACATCTCATTTTGTTTGTTTTGTATTGGAAAAAAAGTAAAAAGTGACTGTAAACATTGGAACTTCGCACTCGTCTTTCAGAGCCCATCATTGCTCCCATAAAGCACCGAAAGTTTTCCTTTGTGGAACAGGACCTTCCGGTGACAACATACGATCTCGAGTAAGAACCACGATCGTTGTGTAACAGGATGCTTACTTATAAGTAACATTTGCTGTGTTTAGGTTCCTGACTGACCTGATGGACAACTCTGAGCTGATACGTAATGTGGCTCTTGTGGGTCACCTCCATCATGGCAAGGTATGATTAACCATTGTGCTCCCCATAAAATACTCTGACTCACTTTGCTAAAGGGGCCCTGAAATGGTTCTTTGAAATTTTATAAGCGTGTAGGCTAGAGCATCATCAAACCATTTGCACCACAAATTTAGTGACACGCCAAGTATCAAAGCCGCTACGAACAATTATATCATAACCTCCTTTTCACCTCTGTCTGGCCTCCTCAACTCATGAGGAATGCTGGCGATCGCGATGCTCTCATGAGCGTGCTCAACGATTTGAGCTTTCACAAGTCTAGACCTCCGAGATCACACGCTGACCGGTTGCGCACAGTCTCGGAGGCTATCTCGCAGTGCGCCCAGCAGCACACACACAGTCTGGCAACCAGAGATGAAAATCAGAGTCGTTCGTATCTGCTCAGTTGGGTGCCGCCACCCTACCAGTTGATCTTCTGCGCATTCTATGGTGCATGACAGCCAATCAGATCAGCAGCCACGGTGACGTCAAATGGCCGGAGCGTGTTGCTTTGTAAACGGGCTGTTGAAAATACGTTTGGCAGAGTACGCAGCAATTCGCAGCTTTAAAGCATTTTAATAAATAACACAGTTTACGCAGTGAGCTCAAATCAGTCTTTAAATGACTCTTAGGACTGGGTCTACCAGCCCAATGTGTTTGTACAAAATCACCAAAATCATTTCAGGGTCGGACTATCTTTACATATGTACAAGTGACCTCTCTATCGCATTTCTGCTTTAAGTTCAGTTGTTTCTTGATCTGTTGCCTGTTTCCAACATGCTGCCTGACTTGGTTAGGTAGCTTATGCGCACTGATGATAATAGCTTGGGTTTAACGTCCTAAAGTCACCGTATTAACATGAGAGACGCCGTATTGGAGTGCTCTGGAAATTTCATCCATCTGGTGTTCTTTAACGTGCCCTAACGTCACACAGCACCCAGGCTTCCAGCACTTCACCTCCACAGAAATGTGACTGCCGTGGCCGGTATCATTGTCTGAGCGCAGTATGTCAAACGAGAAGTAAAGAAGCACCCTATGCAGTGTATGCTCTGGCTAAACAACTCTAGGCAGAACAGTAGGTATCCACTACATTAGCCAGTATGAATCTAGAAACACGTAAAGGAGAGAAGGGTTTACCTATTGTCATTCACTAATTGTTCATGAGTGTTCCTACCAATCAGCATCATACCTGTACATTGAACTAGGCACATGCTATGCTTTTCCTTGCAGTTGGCTGGCGTGACACCTACTCTTCCTGCATGGTATAGGGATCACTGTAATGGACCGTCAGCAATGCTTCCTAAACCTCTAACTTGTGATGTGCTGCTTGCTAGGAAAAGAGTATTTTAGGCATCTTTGTGACATCTCCATCTTTAAGACAAATAGCTCTTTTTTTATCTGCTTTGCCCCAAAAGGTTATGAAAAGTCTTTGTGTTAAGCTGTTGTATAGGCATAGAGCCAACATTTGGGGCAAAATGAATGTAAAACCTTGCCGGCACATTTCAATCCAAAATGAAGTTATGATGTTCCTCTCTAAAGTATGAAGGACTGAGAATTTACTTTCTTTTCTCAATTGTCAGGTTACAATAAGTTATTTTCATTTTGTACCTCTCTACATAGATGCTCGAGATTCATTAGGCATTGTTGTTTTACCTATTAGAAAATTTCTTGAGTCAGTTTGTATGCACAGTCGAATTTTGTGCACTTCATCTCTCCCAAGAAAAAAAAATAACATGCATATAATCCCCGCATATAACTCCCACCTTCACTTTTTAGGCAAATCTCTTTTATTTTTTTAGTGCAAATTGTATGCAAAAAAATACAGCTATTTACACCAAATTCTGCAAAGCCTGTTGAATGTGAAGATGGTTTTTTATGCCTCAGTACTGTTTTTTTTTTCTTCTTTAGACTTCGTTTGTCGACTGTCTCGTAGAGCAAACTCATCCACACCTTCGAGCAAAGGAATGCAAAAATGTAAGTTCAGCGCTTTTACCCTTTCTCACGTATTCAGTGACAGAGACGTGCTTTGCACCTGACTCGTCGACTTAACAGATGTTCTTTTACAGCTCAGGTACACAGACACGCTGTACACAGAGCAAGAGGCAAGTTGATACAATTCTCATTTTATCCCCTCTGCTTTCTCGTTATTGCATCTCGTCATGCATCGATGCTGAAGGGTAAACTTGCGCAGTAATGTTGCAAAAGTCATCATTGCCACATGTTAAAGGGCTTTTGGTTATTTTTTTTCTTTATAGAGAGGAGTGAGCATCAAAGCCAGCCCTGTCACTCTTCTCCTGCAAGACCTCAAACAGAAGTCATTTATTTTGAATGTTTTTGACACACCTGGTACGTTCACACTTGATCATTTATGTCGTGTAGAGCAGCCAACTATTTCCTTCAGCTTCGAGTGAGTGTGTGCTGGTGTGAAACTGAAAGTCTGCTGAGACATGTTGGTGGGGGCTAGCGGGAGTGCCTCAAGGAGTGTTCAACTACTATAATTTCTGAACAAACTTGTATCATACGAATCATCCTTGCAAGGTACATGCATACACACACAGTAGACTTTGTTAAATGGAACCTGAAGGTACTTGGAAAATTGGCTTTGTTTAGCGGGAGTTTTGTTTGTTCCACTTACTGAGATTCTACTGAACGTATTTATGTATAAACGTGTATATTTATTAGTAGATCCAGTGTTAGCTGTCATTTGAGGCAGCAAAGTCAAGTAAGAGCTTTTTAAACCATTGCTGCTCCTTGCATGCTGATGCCTTGATTTGAAAGCAGTCAGTCGCAATAAAAACCATCCATTCAAGGGCATGGATAGAGAACACACTTGTCCGACTCAAAAAATAATTTTCCGAAAAACAATGCAACTCTTAGGTCCATCATGTAGCGCCGCTAGTGTGAAAAGGGCCAAGCAGTACTCTCTGCATCTTTTGACAAGCAATATGAAGTCTACTAGTAGATCACTATTGCCGTTTTTTGAAGATTCCTGGATAAACTTCTCATTAGTGATGCCCAGCGTTGCTTCTGTTCCAGGTCATGTGAATTTTTCTGATGAGGTGACTGCAGCTATCAGGATATGCGACGGTGTGGTGAATCTTCGTTGACGCCGCTGAAGGAGTAAGTGTAACGACTCCTCATTGAGGGGGGGGGGGGGGTATCTTCAGTGTACGTTTAGATTTGCAAATTGTTTAATTTGTAGAAATAGTCTTTTCTGTTCTTTTTAAAATATTTTTCTCTTTAGAACTGCAAGTAAAATTGTGTCGGTGGTGTTGCAGAAGGTGCGTTGAGTGGTT